ATGTCATTTTGTTTTTTCCTCTCCATATCAAAATAGTCCAATGTTACCAGAAATGAGAAACTTATGTTGTGAAACTCAAAATAATAAAAGCATTTTTGCTTGAAGTTTGAAAAAAGGACTAATAAATGATATCTGAAGCTGCAGGTGAAAAGGTTAATTTTTTGTTGCTCTTTCTGTGACTGCGGTGAAGATACTCAGTTGTGTTAAAGATGGGTCTCTCTTCTTCTTTTTGAAATACTTTGTGTTTTATTTTACAGAAAATGGCTGTCTGTACATAGTGATGGATTACTGTGAAGGAGGAGACCTATTTAAAAAAATAAATGCTCAGAAAGGAATCTTATTTTCTGAAGATCAGGTAACAGCAAACTGCTGCTATAATGTTTTGTTGCGTGATACTTTTTCATGAGTTTTAAATTATTTTGGTTCAGTTTGATAGATATGGTTGCTTAATCTAAAAGGAGGTTCTCAAATTGTGATTCTCATTGCCATCAGTCACCATAGTATTTTTTTTTTAAAAAAAGTTATGTTAATTGGGGTTTTGTCTGTATGTGTAAGATGCTTTAAAAAAAGTTGGATCTCTTGCAAAGTAAACCAAATCTGAGAAATGAAAAATACTGAAGGACAACATGAATATTTTTAAGCCTTTGAAATTATTTTCTTTTTAAAGATATAATGGCACAGGATTTTTGTTTTGTAATACTGATTTTCATTTATCAGAAGTATAAAATAACATACTTTGTAAATATAATAATAAGAAATACAGCAATACGAAGTTTGCATCATTCAAAAATTTATTTTTCCATTAGAAAAAATTTAATATTGTATTGGAAGTATACCAGCAGATTTTCTTTTTCTGTGATACTGGTTCTAAAGTCATTTCTACTGTGGGATAATCTGGAATAAATGAGAGTATTTTATGTACAGATTTGATTAAGTGAAAATAGACTATGTAGGATTCAATTTTTTTATTAGAACTGACATATGTTTCCTTGTTTATAAATTGTTTCTGTGCTTTTGTGTCTGCATCCAGTAGGATCTCAATTTACCTGTGGTTGGAAAGGCTTGGTAGTGTGTTAGGTCTATTGGTGGTATTTAGAATAGTGTAATCATGAAATGTTTTGGATATAAATTGTAAAACTTTTCATTTTTCTAATTTGGGCTCACTTTTACAAGAAGAACTTACAATGGAAAAGTGAAAATTATACCTTGCGTTATACTGTAATTTTGACATGTATGTACCTCTAAGTTAGGAGTGTGAAACCACTATTCACATGGAAAAGTTCTTGCTGTTAGTCCCTTTTTATATTGATTATTTTTTTAAATTTACAAAAAAAAAAAGGGTTTTGTTGGCTTGTTTATAATGTTCTAGTTATATATTGTTTGTTGCTTTTCTCATTGAAATCTGCTTTATACTATTTTTAAGGTAATATACATAAAATTACTGGATGATAAAATAAGTATTTCTGCAAGCGTCAATATGGCTTTTTAGGACTCTTGGTTGATTAACTGACTGCAAGAAGACCTGTTGTATTGGTTACAGCAAAAGTACAGTCTTTAAGATGCAAATTCCATGTCTTAAACATTTTAGCCTATCAAATTCATATTGCATACTTTTGTTAGCTTTATAATATGTAATGGAACTAGTAGTCTCGGGCTTAATATCTAATTTGGGTAATATGCATCTTTCATTAAAAAGTTTGCATTATAGTGACAGTACTGTTATGTTTTTAATTATTCTATGGTATAAAGGAAGACAGGTTTGTGGGAAGAAGGTAAAATCTTGAGTTACAATTACAAAACTGATTTGATAATATCTTCAGTTGTGTAACTGGGGAAGCTTTCAGAGAAATAAAAATGCTAATGTTGCATTTTCTTTTATGCATAGATTCTGGATTGGTTTGTACAAATCTGTTTAGCACTAAAACACATACATGATAGAAAAATCTTGCATCGGGACATAAAGTCACAGGTATGTAGCTAATTATTTTTTAACTGAATTTACTTCCAAAGTGATTGCATTCATACCTTGCTACTGTAAGTTGGCAAATTATGGAAAATAGTCTTCTTACGTAAACACTCCTAATACTGGAAACATTTTTTTTTTCTTCAAAATTGTCTGGAGGTGTTTTATATGATACTTGTACAAAGAGGTGAGGCTATTTGTTGAAGCTACTTGAGTGTTACTCATATTTATGTGTGGGGACAGAAAAGGTTATATTTTAGAATGTGTAATAGTGTTTTCTTTAATTTTGATGAAGTAGGACTAGAGTAAGTCTGGTGTTTCATAGTAGTCAGTAACACTATTGCTAGTGACTGCAAAGAGATTGAATGGTAGAAAACTTTATTCTTCCCAAAACATGTTGAGAACAAAAAGTGTGCGATTGTATGAATGTTTTAATTAACAGACTTCTTAAAATTTCTATATCAAGAATATATTTTTAACCAAAGATGGAACAATACAGCTGGGAGACTTTGGGATTGCCAGAGTTCTTAACAGGTAACTCCTTTTTGATGCTGTTTTCTCTGACTTAATCTAGATCACTTTGATCTAGGAAGATGTAATCTGTGCACTTCCTGTGAGTTAACTAGTTAACATTCATTCTTATTTTTTTTCTTAGTACTGCCGAGTTGGCTCGCACTTGCATAGGAACGCCATACTATTTGTCACCTGAAATATGTCAGAACAAACCTTACAACAATAAAAGGTACTAATAAGCATTTTATTAAACATTTTTGGTAAGGAGAAGAAAGTGAGTTCTTTAGCAATCAAAAGCTGTTCTAATCATACGATGGAACAGCCATTAGTTCATCTCTTACCCAAGAAGGAACTGAGTCTCACTGTACAAGTGGGACCTTAGCAGGTCTGTGCAGTACAAAGCGATGTGATGCAGAGATGGTTTAGCTTGATGCTCCAAGGTCTAGATCTAGCTGTGTTCTTAATTATGGCTTTACTTTGCCTGTCTACACACTAGTTGTACTGCCTTAATTTATGCAGTATGAATGTGAAACTGTTTTAAGAATGAAATCACAAACACAGTAATTGGATTCTCTAAGCGCATGCGTAAATAGGTGGCTCAGCTTGCTTCAGATAACAAAGTCATACAGATACTTTGCTTACATTTTTGCTGTCCTGGCAGCAGGCTGTATCTGGTAACAGTGTCCCTGATGTAATTAATATGGTCGCCGTCAAGTTGGTCTTACGCTTCACTAAGCTGCTGCATCCATTGTTGTGAGTGCCTTATACTAATTTCAATTGGTTTCTTAAAAGATAAAAATTATTATAGTTCCTTGTCCCTTAATTTCTCCAACATGGGATTTATTATCCAATGGTATTCTAACCAAATTCTGTAATCCTATAATGAGTGAGGGTAAGGTAGGTCAATGTTAAACAGAGTAAACGGACTTTAAGAATTTTATTTGCTGAACTGGGTGGTGGTTCTTGTTTGGGTTTTTGTTTGTTTAACTCAAAGACCTCAGGCAAATACATGCATTTAAAGAAAGAAAGCCTTTGTCCATATTTTGTCTAATTTCTCTGATTGGGGTGGTTCAGATGAAAAGGTCTAATAAAATCTGGAGCCAAAATAAGCCCAACTGGTTTTCAGGTTGGCCTTATTTTTGGTTGTTGAATTATTTTTTTTGTTTTGGGGTTTTGGGGGGGGGTTGTGTGGAAGGTACAAGGGAGCTTGTACATACTCTAAATTCAACCTTTTCCTTTTCAAAGATAGACTTCACAGATATAAGTTAGATGGCAATGTTATACCTAGAACTAATTCTTAAGTATTTTTCTTTGATTTAGTGATATCTGGGCCCTTGGTTGTGTTCTCTATGAAATGTGCACACTTAAACATGCGGTGAGTAGAAAATTCTTGTTTCTGTAAAAGTTTAGTGATTTCAAACAGGGATTTTTCCTGATCTTACGCAAATGTGTTTCAGTTGATGAAAGGCTTTCATGATGACTGTTTAAAATTACCTTCAACATTTTAATCTCCTCTTCCTACACTGACCAACATTTTCCATCTGTGTTTTGGTTCATGCCAGTCTCTCCAGAAACTGTATATTTTGCTTTCAATGCAGGTTTTTAATGAACTGTATTAGCTGAAAAATTGTTAGGTGCTGTAATGAACAATACTGTGAAAAGTGTTCTTTTCTTTCCAAAAAACTTGACATTTTCATTGAAAATCTGAATTTGGACTGTCGGCTTTTGTGCAGATGGATTAATGCATTTCTATTTAGAACAAAATAGTTCTTAGAAAAAACTCCCAAGGTGAAAGAGTTGCCTTTTTGTGTGTATGTTGTTTTGAAGAATACATCTTTTATCATCTATTTTCCAGTTAGGAAGGGAAGAAAAAACATTTTTTTCTGTATTGTTTTGGTTGTGGTTTTTTGGTTTTAGGTTGTTTGTTTTTTTAAAATAGATCTTTTAATAAAAAGAAAAAAAGATGAAAATTGGAAGAAAAAATTCAAGGGGTAAGGATTTCATTTAATTTCAAGCTTTTGTAATTTCTTATTGCTTGGTCTTTTCTGTGACAGCAATGCTGACGATGTTGCCTTTCTGAGAGTTGATGGCAATAGGTTGTTTTCTGTGAGCTGGGTTATACGTACTGTTTTGTTTTTATTGTACAAAGGAGTTGAAATGGTGCGCTCTGCTTCCTGAGCTTAAGCTGAAGTCTAAGCATTCCTTTGGATTTTACACTGAATGAGTGTGAATGCTTTACATTCTTTCATTTGAAATGTGGCTTTGCTAAAAAAGGGCAGAGGGCATGTGATGGTTGAAAGTGTTTGGGAGAGGAAATCAAGCAGATAATGATATAATTATCTTATCCTTAATTATATATCATTGTCAGTCTAGATCTGGAGGGAAATAATTATTTGTTAGCAAAATTTATATCTCTATGATGTGAAATATCTGTGTTATGATGTGTTTATAGTCAGAATACTTGGCAGCAGATTATTTTAAACTGCTGATGTAAACTGTGATGGCTTTGAAAATTTGTTTTGGTATGTTGAGGCAAGGGAAGGTGTGCTGTTTTTTTGTTTTCCTCTTCATCTTTATATGCAGCCTTACATGTGGACAGACAGTAAGTACTATGTAGTAACTGTTTTCTTTCTTGTGTGATCTAGTTTGAAGCTGGTAACATGAAGAACTTGGTACTGAAGATAATCTCTGGACCTTTTCCTCCTGTTTCTATGCATTACTCCTATGACCTACGTAATCTGCTGTCACAGTTATTTAAAAGGAATCCTAGGAATAGACCGTCAGTAAACTCCATATTGGAGAAAAACTTTATAGCCAAACGGGTTGAAAAATTTCTCACACCACAGGTATGGAGTTAGTTTTAATTCTAGTTTTGCTAAATACATCATAGGACTTTTCTTTATTCTAATGTCAATATACAACATGAGAAATTGGAGTAATGGTATTCCCTAGAGCTTTTACAGAGACCCTTTCATTTGAGGAAAAAAGAGTTTTACTACGAACTGTAAAGAAAAGTCTCATGTTACTTAAGTATTGGGTAGTTTCCACAAACATTTAAATTGGCATTTTCTTAAGTGCGTTATTTTGTGTGGGTTTTTTATATAGTGACGAATTATGAGTGAGATGTTGATTTGTTTAGATATGTATTTTTTCATAAAATGGTGCTGTCAATGTCTTCAGCATCGCTTCTTTATCATAATTTCTTCAATCCATTTTTTTGTTCGGAATTTGGAATGGCCTTCAAGTGTGTTCTGTGAAATATTGCTAAGTAAACTAATCTTTCAATTTCTTGATGTTTAAATGTATCACGTGTATATAACCTAGAAGTTGTTGCTCACTATTTGGTTGAGAATCTGTTGATATCATTTGACATCTATTCATGTACTTTTAATACAAATCCAATCAAAAGAGATCAAGATTAGTAAGTGACTAATAGTACTGATACGAGGTAAATAAATATAGACAGAGAAAGGACATGAAGGAAATGAATGCAAAAGGAGACCTCACTAAGTATAAAGAATTCTAGTGGATTCTAACTCACAACTAAAGAAATTTCAGGAGAAGGCCATATGTAATTGGGATTTCAATTGTATATGAAATAGACTTTCAACTAATAATAGTTCAGATTAAAGTCCCAATGAAAGGTAAGATTCAGAAGTCTTTACAGATAAGTTTGTTGTCCTAACTTTTACAACAGTAACAGTTAGATCTGATTTTATTTCCAGTAGCTAGAATGGATATGAAATTTTTATTTGGGGTTAGGCAAAGTATAATTAGTAATAGACTACTACCAGATGATGATACTAATTTCTCCTAGATTGAGTGTGAATGCTGGCACACAATTTTTCCAGCTGAATCACTAACATGTTCGACTTGGAGATGCTAGCTGAACTTAAAAACAGCAAACCCCCACACCCAGAAAGCACCTTTTACTAAATGTATCAATCACTGGTACGTTTGTATTCAGCCGGAGGTGGTCATTCTGTGATACAGCTGTAATGCCTATTCGCTGTTGGTTTCATCCATGGGTAATGCTGTTGTCTCTGCTTTCCGTAGTCTAAGCTTAAGAGATCTTCCATAGTTGTCATCTTCAACATGTTGCAGCTATTGCTGAAATCCTGCTCTTCAATGACAGGAAAACAGTCTTCCAGTTTTAGATAACTTCTTTCTTAATTTTCATAGTTACTAAGTTACAGTAAAGAGTGGATCTAAATTAGCATCAATTTGGAGAAAAAAAAAAGCTTTTTGAAAGGTACTGGAGAGTCATATTTCTTTTCTGTCAGTAGCTGTGTTATCATGGAAACACCACACTTAGTTGTTACAGCTTATCACTCAAATAAAAGCTTCAGGATCACTGAAATACCGTTAGTAGGAGACGATTCTCATGTGTGACTTCTTGCTTACAGAATCTTTTGATGCCAGACGGTACAGGTTAAAAAAAGTTTCTCTGCTGTCATGTGCAGAGTCCTAAGTTCTACGCTTCGGCTCTTGGTTTTTTTTTCAGTTTTAACTCCTCAGTATCCATTGTAACTGACTGGTAGTCTCTAAGCAAAACAAAATAAGCTGGATAGTTCAAAATCTATAAAGACTATTCCTTAAAACCTTGTGGTTTAGTGACTATTCAGTTAACATGGCTGTCAGTTGTTGTCAGAACGTTAAGTAACACATTCCTGGCACATTCCGTCTCTAGAAAGATGGTCTGTAGTGTGGCCATTATCTGTCTGCAAGTAGCTCTATCTACTGTTGTAAAAAAATACCTTTGCAGTTCCCATCCTTTGAATATTCTATATTGGTAGCATCAGTTGCAGTGCTGAGATTCAGCGAGGTGTTTCAGAGCAGGATGTTAGAAAATGAGAACGTGGTGCTGGGTCAGCTAAAAGGCAGTCTCACTCCATGTCCTGTGGGCAGTGAACACTGGCCATAAACAGTGCCTGGGGAGGCGTATAAGAACAAGGCAAGCCTACATAACATTACCCTATAACACTCTCCCAGCCTTCATCTTTTGTTGTCTCAATTGCATCAGCTCAGGAAGCATCTTTGGTATTTAGATGTTCTCAATAGATTTCTTGTCTGTGATTCTTATCTGATTTCTTGTTGAACCTGTGTAAGCTTTTATGATCAGTAAGAAATTCCACAGGTGGTCTACTTGTTGCAGAAATCATCAGCTTTGTTTATTCTAAGCCTTTCTCCTCCTATTCAGTTGCATTCCACTTCTTACATTGGTATTACCATTTGCTGCCCTTGTGTGTTTCTCTGCTTTCTCTGCAAAATCACATATGGTATTCTGGACCCATCACATTACAACTCAGTCATCTTTTTATAGGTGGAAGAGCAAGTTTATTTGTTCTTTGTACTGAAGCTTTTCAACACTTTTAATTATCCTTGCTGCTCTTCTTTGAACCTCTTTCATTTCTACCTCATGGTTTTTGAGGTGTTGGGTTCAGAACTACATACAGTATTCAATGTAATGTGAGATGATGGCCTATTCATATTTCAATGTTCTTTGTCTAGACTTCATTTTTTTTTACTCCAGTAAGGCTGTTTTCCACATTTTATTATGCTAATTTGATATGCCTGACAGCACACCGTATGTGTTGTTCCTAGATATCCACATATGTGGTCATCTTCCCATCTTGAAAAGGATAGAGAAACTAAAAACTGCAAACATTTCTAAAGGACTATTTTTTTGACACAAGCTGTCTGAGAATTTGAAGTGAAATTTGGCAGCTATACAGAAATCTAAAATGAACTATGCATAAAACTATGTTGATGCTCACATTAACTTTCTTCTAGATTCTTAGCTAGTTCATAAATGATGTAACGTGCCACCCAGAAGTCAGACTAAATTGCTTTTTTAAAATTTAGCAGTTATGCCAAAAATATTTGAAAATACTGAATCCAGCTTCATATTAATGTTAGTGATACCGAATTGAATACATAAAGTTGAGTATTCATTTAAATTTAAGTTAGAGTAACTACTTTTAGTTAGATGCTTACTGGGAGTGGCACACTTCTCTGAAAAGGAGTTCTTTCTAGCTTCAGACATAAATACTGTTGGCTAACTGTTCAACTTTTTGTTTAGCTTATTGCAGAAGAATTCAATCACAAAATCTTCCAGAAGTTTGGACCACATGCTGCACCAGGTAAGTAAGTGTGTAAAGTGCTTTTGCTTTCAGCTCTGGCAAGATAGTGTATGTAGCTTTGTTCTTTTATTGGTTTTAGTGTGTTCTTATACCTGTTTCTAGAAGTTTCAGGAAAAATGAGAGGGAAGCAATTTTCCCCTCTCCCCTGGGGAGCTGGATGTATGTAGGGTACAAACGATGCCAGGATAAACTATGGTCCTGTAATATTTTAGGTGTACTTTTCCTCTTGCAGTATACTGCGCTTCCAAAATTTAAGGAGACAGTGAAAACTGCAAATACTGGAAGTAATTTGTATGTTGTTATTGTACAAGGGCAACCAAGATGGTGAAAGGCCTTGAGGGCAAGACTTATGAGGAGCTGCTGAGGTCACTTGTTTTGTTCAGCTTGGAGAAGGATGAGGGGGTGACCTCATCGCAGGCTACAACTTCCTCAAGGGGGGCAGCGGAGGGGGAGGTGCTGACATCTTCTCCCTGGTGACCAGCAATAGGATATGAGGAAATGGAATGAAGCTGTGTCAGGGGAAGTTCAGATTGGACACTAGGAAAAGGTTCTTCATTGAAAGGGTGGTCAGTCACTGGAACAGGCTCCCCACAGCACCAAGCCTGTCAGAGTTCAAGGAGCATCTGGAGGACACTCTTAGTCATATGATTTAGTGTTAGGTAGTCCTGTGAGGAGCAGGGAGTTGGACTCGATGATCCTTATTGGATCCTTTCCAAAGCCCAAAGCAGTAGAATTTTTACTACTGGTAGCAAATTAGATTGCGGTTCACTTTGTCAAGATGGTCTTGCTCAAGAGAGCCCTGCTAGCACAGAATCAAATCCACAATATTGGTGTATTTTCAGGAACTCTACAGGGAAAACAATATCCCTGAAGGCCATTGAAGCTCTTCCAGAACTCATCTTCTGACATTAGTGTTGCAGGTTGCAGTCCAGTGTTGTTAGTGGAGGGAGGCCTGTCTCTCTATTCCATTAGGAAAACTTTTCTCTGGGTCCATGACAACTAGATAATAAAGCACGGCAGCTGAAATAAGCTTCAGTTCTCCAGTTTGAAGTGTTGAGAGTGAAAAGCTCAGGGATTGTGTTTTGCTGTTTCTTATCAAGCATTAAATTTAGATGAGCTGTTTGGGACAACTAGGTATACTGCATTTATGCATCAGCTCATGTGAATGAAATGTTAGCAGTTCACCTGTTTCCCTCCAGCTTTGCTGTTCCAAGACCTTGGGAAAGGGAAATATGGTACACTGGCCAGCCTGGATAGCTGTAAACCATTTTTTGTTTCTTTTTAGCTAAAAGACCAGCTCAAGAACAAATACTGACTTCAGTTGCACCAGCTCAGAAAATTACCAAACCTGCTGCAAAATATGGAGTGCCTTTAATGATCAGGAAGTCTTGTGATGTGCCTAAAAAGCCTAATGAGAAGAAGCCATTGGCTAAATCTAGACAGGTAAGAAGCTGTTACTTAAATCAAACTGGTTTGCTCATACCTTTATTTAAATGCTATGAAAATACTATGCATTCCTTTTCAAAATGTCTTTTACCTGGACACATGCATCTGCAGAGAAAGTAATAGTAGTTTAAATGCTTGGCTTCCTTCGTTATTGATTTTTTGTTGTTGTTGTTTAGTTGGTTTTATTATAATGATTTTTGGAGACTGCTACCTTAGGTTTGGGTTTTAATTCCACTGCTGAATTAGATGTACTTTGCATGTTTTCAGTTCCTTTGTTGGTGTTGACCGCTCTTAGAAATATTGGAAGTCTGTCAGGTATACCAAGATCATTGACACTGGATAAGAATCTTCACATCTTTCTTCCTTGTTCAAAAATAATCTGAAATTTTCAAAACATAGAAAACTTTTTTAGTCACTTTCTAAAGTGTTGTCAGCCAGACGAATTGTGTAATTGGAAGAGGAGTTTCCCAGACTTAATTCCATGAGCTAATGAGAAAGTCTTCTGTATGCCTTCATACAGTACATTTGATCTTTCTTCCAGTCATCTTCTCTGTATTCCTTATTACATAAAACTTTTTTCCTCTCTCTTTATTCCTTTAATTACTGCATGGCCAGGAAATGTTTATGATACAGCTAGTTTTGAGCTATATGCACATGCCAAACAACTAGTAGCCAAGAAGGTCCCACTTCAGCAAGAGAACTAATTCAAATTTTCTTCTGATTAAGTAATATTTTTGTTGTTGTGGTGGTGGGTTTTTTGTGGGTTTTGGGGTTTTCTTTCCTTTTCCCCATGGCACTTCAGGGAACATAATACTGAGATCTCTATCCATCTGTCAAATTTGATAGGTGGATGGAAAATTATCCTTGAGATATAAATTATGCTTGAGGTTCAAAAGTTATTGGAGGTTTAGGGAAAAGCTCACTGATCACACAAGCCTTGTTGGCTTGTGATACACAGTTTGGGAAAAAGAGCAAGAAGAAGGGAATGCACAGACTTCTTGTGTGTCCTTATGAGACCGTGAGGTTTTTGTGTCTTAAGGCTTGCTTGTGCAACCGTCTGCTAGTCAGCTGCTCTTTATAATCAGTTTCACCAGCCAACACCAATCCAACTTGCATAGAGACTCAAAGTGGCAGGGTAGAGACTGAGGAAATATCCTCTTGCTGCATGTAAGGATTCAGTAACGCTGCAATTTTAAGACATGTTCTTTGTGTGGATTGTACCTAGTGACAAGGGATAAGATGTAGGATAGAAAAAATGGCTACAGTGTAATATAAATTTTTTTTCTCTTTGCTGTTGTTCCAGGGTAGTCTGAGCTTGCAGCTCTCACATGCTTCTCTGAAAAGCCAGTTAACAATCATCGCCTTTGTTCAGTGATACTACGTTAACTCAGTGTAGTTGAACTACATTGACCTAAGTCTCTAAAGGCTTCCATCTTCTGAAATACTTGATTTTAAAGTACTCATTTGATAGGATTTTAGGTTGTCAAAAGAAAATATTTTGAAACTCTCTGTATTCTCGTATGGTCAGAAAAAAAAATGCTTGAAAGTAACCATCACTTTTTTGAGAAGATTAGAGCAAGCAGCATGGATTATTACATACAGCTGCTTCTTTACTAGATATTCAATAGTGGCTGCGTTCTCTTCTATAGGTAACAAGAAGCTTGGTTAGAGTTACCCAAGAGAAAGAGCCTAAGGATAACCTTATAAATCTGTTTGCCAAATAACAGAGAATCTTAATATCTAGGGAGCCTTAAAGACTTACAATAGGAAAAGATTGTAGTGCAGAATGATACTGCCAGAGAAGAAAAATTAAGACAAAACAGATCTAAAAATTACTGCCTTCGGCTTTCAAGACAGAGCGTTTAGTAGAGGATGAACAAGTACAGAAGCATTTACCCCTAGATCCTAGCAGTGCTTTTCATTTGAAATCTCCTGAGTAATTAATTATTTTAAACCCCATTTTGCACATACTAAGTTGTGGGTTTAATTCTTTTTCTCCCATTAGAATTTTTCTCATTCTGGCATCGTGCCATCTAATTTGAAATTTCACCTTTTATCCAGGCCTTTCCAACTCCAATGAAGAAAAAGAATCCAGGAGAAGAAAGGAGGAAAATGTTTGAGGTATCATGAGATCATCTGTTAATTTTCCAACTAAGCAAAAGCTACGTCCAGAGCAAGAATGACAAAACAAAACCTTCAAACCTTTCCTCCTTATCTTTTTTCCCAAACGTTATGTAACAGTGATTTTAAAATACCTTTTTTTTTTTTACCTTCATGGACATACACCAGCAATTGGAGCACTAACCGATCTTGGCAGAGACTTGACAGAATAATGGCTCAGTAATAAATACCAAACTTTATGCTTATTTTTCAGGAACCTTCAAAAAAGAAAAGGTCAGAATTGCCTGAAAAAGAAAAACGCCAGAGAGATCAGGTAGACAAGATTCTTGAGACTTTCTTTTTCCACCCGTAGTAATTTTAATGAAATATCTTGTGGTGTGGTGTGTTATATGTTGCTTAAGAATATGGAATAGTTCGATTTCCCAGTTACTAAACCTGTTTAATCCTTACACGGTGCAGATCAGTCTACTGAAGGCAGATGGAATGAGAAGACTGGAAAAAGAAAGGGTAAAATATGTTTAAAATGTGTTAATAGTGAAGTTCAATTTTTACTTAGTGATTCCTTGAATTATGTTTTCCTGTATTGTTTTCTCCTTCAGATGGAACGAATAAACAGAGCCAGGGAACAAGGATGGAGGAATGTGCTTGGTTCAGGTGGAAGTGGTGATGTTAAGGTTGGCAGCAGATGCAGAAATGTGATGTAGTCTGTTCCCCCCGCCTTTGGTTATCTGGCATGGTCTTCTCTTTTCAGAAAGATCTGCTCTTGGAGGTCAACTCTTGGGGCTGCCCATTATTAATCTATGGATAATTTAAGAGAAACTGTATAACAGAATCTCTTCCCTGGCTTTTTGGAGATCACGTGCAATTTTCATTTTTAATACTTACTAAATTTCTGAATCTCTTCTCTTTCTGCCAGTAATGGTTTTCATGCACCACTTTCTTTTTTCCACTCCTGCTTTTGCTACTTTTCCTGTGCTGAATCTATGCATGAACAGCTTCTTTCACATTCAAGTTTGTTCTTGAATTCTTTTGTTGAAATCTTTTTCCAGGTTCTCATATTATGATAATGGACCTCCTCCCCACTATTAAACACCAGCTTCTAAGCATTCTTCGTTATTTAGCAACATGAATGTTTATGTATACTGATAAGTTGTTCAGGAGAGGGGTGTGAAATCCTGAGAATATCTAATTATTTTTTTTCTGAAAGCAGTAAACTCTTTAGCCATTCACTTCTTAGATAATTTAATTGCATAATTTAATCTGATCCCTGTGATAGTTTCTTTTTGCCTGTTTGTGTGTGTTGTAGTTTCATGGAAACATAACTGTTCTGGGAAGTAGTCTCATGGAGTTACTTGAATATAAAGGTCTGGGTACTTACATCAGACAGAGCCAGTGCAGGAATTTAAGTATTGCTGTGGGGTAAACCTATCTGACAATAGAAAATGGATTAAAACACAGCTATTTGTTGTGGTGGTAGTGAGTCTTACAAAAATACTTAGCCTAAACATGTTTAGTAGGGTTTTTGTAAACAAGCTCTGACTGAGCAGTAGAGTCAAAATGAATAGAGGTCTTATTTTCTGTTCCTTGTACAGAAGGAACATGAGGAACTATGAGGAATACACAAGCACTTGACCAGGTTTCAGTAGCTGCTTATTAAATTCATTATTTCAGAATAGACATCATCTTTGGATGTGTGCCACACATCATATAAGTAAAGCTTAAATATAAAAGCAAACTTAAGCATACCAGACTTTAAAAACTACCAGGTGTTGATTTAATGGAAAAATCATTTGGTTCCTATGCCATCCTTCCCTCTCTCTGTCAAGATGAAACTGGCAGGTACCAATACAAGCTTCCATACAACACAATATATCAGCGTCGTCACATTTGGGTGAGAGCTACATATGTTCCTGAAAACAATCATGTTGCTGATTAACTTTTGAGAGTTTTATCACAAGGTCCTTAGACACTGCAAACGTATAAAGTGTTCTGTTGTAGCTACAGCTGCATCGTTTTCAGTATTCTCAGTCATCTAGGAAAACTGAGGTTCAGTGGCTGTATATTTTCACTGTGTCACTGGTGTAAAATGTCATGGCAGACATGCTTTAAAATTCATTGAAATGTGTTCTCCAGATTGGATAGTTTAGTACAAATCTTACTGCAGGCCACTAGGTTATCATCACTCCAGGTTTCCATCTACTGTTATAGTATTCTTGACTTAATTATCCTTTTCCTTCCTCCAATGTGAAAACAGTGTATCCAGCAACTCCCTGACGATGCTGTCGAATAGCATTGTTCAAGCTTTCCAATAATGCAAGCCATAAAGCCTCTAATGAAGGCACAGCAGGGTCATGTGCTGCATGATTTTCTCCTCTTGCTGTTGTTGTCTTTTTGGGTTGGCTGCTGGCACCTGTGTCTGAAGGAAAGAGGTGGCAGGGATTTGGCTTCAGGTTTGTGGTCTAGCAGGGGCTGTAACTGTCCTGCAGACTATTGATGAGCACCTGCTTCATAGCATTTGCCTAGAGATTGATCATACTATTTCTTTAGATAATCCTTTTGAAAACTGAGCTCTAATAATGATAGGTGAAACCTTGATTAGTGTCTAAAGCAAGACTTTTCCTTCTATTTGTAGAAACTATAGTCTTGCACAGTAAGTTATTTTTATTCAGATGAACAGCATACCTGCATATTTATTTGAATGCCTGGATAAATCTTTCAGTTAGTATTCTATCATGTGGATTACGGGGAGCTATTGATGGGTGTTGAGCAACTGAAACTCAGAATGTGAGCTAAATTCCATTGTCAAATATAATCTGTTCAGGAACTTCTAAGCAGGCAATCTTAAACCTGTCACATCTGGACTCCTATTTGAATTTATTTAAAATACTTAAGACCGCTCTGGAAGGAACATTGAAACTATTGTTAAAACAAATTCCATAGATTCACTACCATGGGCTATTTGACTGCTTCCCCCAGGTGTAGTGGGAACGTTTTTATGCATGTGCTGACAACCTTAACCTTGTTTTGCCAGTTTCACATTTTCTGCATCCATCCTTGGCTACTACTGTACACAGCTGCTTGCAACTTTTTTTTTTAATTATTTTCACACGAAGGATCTGTAGGAATACTAATTCTTTGAGAATGACAGAGATAATTCGCATAAAGCAGTAGCTTGTGGTAGATGTTCCCCTGATCTGAGCTTTAGTAGGGAAGCATCTCAAGTCTGGTGATGAAACCAAATTATAGGTTGGTAACAATGGGGATTCTCAGATAAATCTGCACTTAATGCCATTCGGCAACCTTAGAAGTGTGCTTAACTGTTTCTAGCTTTGTGAAAAAAATGGGTGTTTGGCTACAAATCGCTCATTAGTCCTTCAGTTAGTATTGTATCACTTCTAGCTTTTGTGCCAAAACTTTGATTTTTGCCATGTAAGAACATCTATCTCCAATTACATTTCAATGGATTTGCTACCAATAACTTCCAAAATGTGTGACAGATGTCTCATGTATAACTAGGCTATTATCAAAGGGAGGTAAAATGCTGTGTTATTCTGGAGTGCTAACAGAAAAATAAGTTTTTAATTTATCTATCTTGTAGTTTGTTAAAATAGGGGCATGCCAGGAATAAAACTAGGACCAATTCAGAATTGCTGCAGAACATATTAATGCTTTTATTCTGCTGAATAGGTGAAAATTGGAAGGGCTTGTTAAAACCGGTATTTGAGATTTCCACCCTACCCCTTTTGATTTCCAGGCACCATATTATGGCGGTGGAGGTGGTGTTGGTCCTTTTCCTGTGTATTCTAGAGGACAATATGAACACTATCATGCTATTTTTGACCAGATGCAACAGCAAAAGGAAAACATTAGAGCTGCTGAAGAGAGGGAAGCCAAATTGAGGGTGAAAGTACAAGGCCGAGAAGTTGTTGAAAGGTACGGCTACCTTCCACTGGAAGTTGCATGTGGTCTGCTTTAGATGAAAGTAATGAAAGTTACTGTACATATTTATCTACAGAGGAATTCCACCTGGAATACGTCCAGGAGTTCCTAAGGGGCCTGCAGGTCATCACCATTTACCTGATGCTGGTGCAGTTAGGAAAAAAATGAAAAGGTTGAAGGAGGTGTCTAAACAAGCCAATGCAAACAGGTTGGACTATGACAATCCATAAATCTGTCCCTACGTGTTAGATTCCTGTTCTGTGTCTCGTTTCATTTAGTAGTTGGACATGTCTCAAAATCACTTTTATCCATTGGTACTGTGCTGTCTGTTTGTGTGTTAGTCCCTTGCAGACCACAATTCTTTCAGAACCAATGGAAACCTTGGCTTCTCCAATAGTGGAAAAAATGGATTACTAACAACTGTAACTAAACTAGATTTCAGCCAAAATTCTTGGCTTAATGCAGTTGCAGATAACATTATAAGCCTCCTCCTTTGCTTTTTTCATAGTTCCACTTTTTGTGTTACCTGCCAAGATGCTTCCTTCTCCTGTCATCTCGTTCTGACTGCCTTCTCTACATCTAAGTGTTTGACTCTTTAGCATAGGAGAGTGTCTAGAATGCTCCCAGAATTGTTAGCTCCTGTTCATTGATCAGTGGAAAACTTCTAGGAGCTTTCTTCATCAAGATGCGAATGCCAAGTGTTACAATGGTGTGCAACTTCTAATTCAGTAATGCTTATTCTTTGCAATTACTATAAACTGAGTATTTTATATATATATAAGGATTGTAAACAAGTATGGATTTTTTTTAAATGATTTCACTCTTTCAAGTATGATTTCACTCTTTCAAGTAGCTTCTTCAAAACTTCTTTGCTCTCCTTCAGATCTGTTAATATTGCCCAAAGAACTCTGTCCACACTTGTGAGCAGTAAATGGGAAAACATCTTTTTTCTAGAAGTTTAGTACGTGAGCGTTACTAACTAACTTTCCTAGAGGCACAAATTTTCACATGCATTACTTAAACTTCTGCAGATCCAATGACGTATCCCATGGAGGAAGAAATAAATGGAGTTAATGTGAGGAAAAGGAAGTGGCCAAAGAAAACATTTGTTCTTCTAAATTAATTTCACTCAGTTTTATGTTTCAATAGAATATATTTTGCCTTGTAGATTTTTTTGTATTTTAAAATTTGCAGCAAAAACATAACACATTTAACACTGATGTTATAATTTTGCAAGCTACAAGGTATATTTATTTTCTTTACAGTAATTTGGGCTGTTATGAGCTAATTAAAATTCCTCCTGGTACAACCCAGTACTGGAAGGTGTATTTTCCCAGCTGATGTAGATGTGTATTTCCATCCTCCTCTGTTTATTCTCAGTGCTTTGCACAAAGTGCCACAATCCCCAAATCTTGCCTAGATTAGGAAACACTGCCTCACACATTTGGCAATATTAAATGATACTTGGCTACACCTGGGTAAACTGTTTTAAATGTATTAAAATTGAGAGGAACTATAGTAGAGAGCTGCAAATTATGAGTAACGTGGAGATCATGAAGAGAAACTGATTCAGTATTTCTCAAATACCTGAACTTGGAAGCACTCAATGAAAATACTGTGCAGAAGTTTCAAAATAAGTAGAGATTTTTTTTTTCTGTTTATGAACTGGATTACCTTTAGGCTTAAGTTGAGGTGCTGTTTCTTAGCATTTAAAATGCGGTAAGTATTTGTACTTTATTATCTAGAAGCAATTTTAGTCTTATAGTTAGCCTAGCAGTATTTCGCTCCTGCATTTTATTCTTTCAGCTGGAGGTGAAATAAAAAGATAAGTGTTCAGGATGTTTAGCTCAAAGAAAGAATTTAAATAATTACCTATCTTTAAGAAAGTTTCAATTTAGAGCATTGTCATGGTTTAACCCCAGCCAGCAACTAAGCACCACACAGCCGCTCGCTTACTCCCTTGCGCAGCAGGATGGGGGAGAGAATCGGAAGGGTAAAAGTGAGAAAACTTGTGGGTTGAAATAAAGACAGTTGAATAGGTAAAGCAACAGCCGCGCACGCAAGCAAAGCAAAACAAGGAATTCAGTCACTAATTGCCATTGGCCAGCAGGTGTTCAGCCATCTCCAGGAAAGCAGGGCTCCGTCACACGCAACGGTTACTTGGGAAGACAAATGCCATCACTCCAAACGTCCCTCCCTTCATTCCTCTTCCCCCAGCTTTATCTGCTGAGCATGGCATCATACGGTATGGAATACCCCTTTGGTCAGCTGGGGTCAGCTGTCCCAGCTGTGTCCCCTCCCAACTTCTTGTGCACCCCCAGCCTACTCGCTGGTGGGGTGGGGCGAGAAGCAGAAGAGGCCTTGACTCTCTGTAAGCACTACTCAGCAATAATGAAAGCATCCCTGTGTTATCAACACTGTTTTCAGCACAAATCCAGAACATAGCCCCATATGAGCTGCTGTGAAGAAAACTAACTCTACCCCAGCCAAAACCAGCACAAGCGTATATTAAAGTTGAGAAATCCGTAAGTTGCAATCTTATTGATTACACTACCACAACTAATGTAAAGCTAAGTATATTCATAATCAACAATCTTTAAAAATTGTCTCTTAGATAGAAATGCAGCCCAGAAGAAATCGAGTTGAAACGTTTTAGCAAAATGAGTCACTCAGTTTTAGAGTAGGGAAAACTATTTTCATAAAATTTAGTTGAAATAAGTTTTTCCTGTGAATTTGGTTTGAGAAAAATAGGTTTGGGGTTTTTTTGCTCGGGAAGCATCTCCCCTCCAACACTGTAAGCTAAACTTCAACTATATGACACGGGTTTGGACAGATTTCACTATCCACCAATTGAGTTCATATATAATGAACAGTTACAGTAAAAATCTTGTACTGAGTCAAATACGTGTATACAAAGATTATCAAATATTTGTTTCTTTACCAGTAACACCTACATGGATCGTCTTGCTTTTTCAGAGTAGCTACAGCGTTTGTTTTATTGTATCAAAGTAGTTTTATCTCTGTCATCGTCTTAATGAATTGTAGCATATGGAAGTATTTAATTTCCTTGTTGGCTGGAGGGGGGAGGGGGGCAGTGAAGGTAGAGGAAAAAACAAAATGCAAGCATGTTTAAGTAGTGTGCTAATTTATGAATTACTAGCAATAGCTCCTGTATTGCAAAATGATTCTTTCTTTAACTGTCTCAGCCTGATGGGTTATTGCTATCAGATTATTCCAATTTCTTCCTGCCTGTTGCTTGATGTCCAGTATTCCTCAGTCAAACGAGGCATGGGGAACCTTGGAAAAGGGGATTGCCTCATCATTCTACCATTTGTTAGAATATCTTACAGCATTTCTCAGTAGTTTTTTTAATAGAAAGCTTTCTCTCACTCCACTTCTAACCAATTTGTCAGAAATTGGTTCCTCTACAAAACGATCGTATGGATGTACTAGGAGACTTGCCAGATGCTCAGTTACGGTATAGAATAAAATCATAGAATCATTAAGGTTGGAAAAGACCGCTAAGATCATCGAGTCCAACCATCAACCCAACACCACCATGCCCACTAAACCATGTCCCGAAGCGCCACGTCTACACATCTTTTAAATACCTCCAGGGATGGTGACTCAACCACTTCCCTGGGCAGCCTGTTCCAATGTTTAACCACTCTTTCAGTAAAGAAATTTTTCCTCATGTCCAATCTAAACCTACCCTGGCGCAACTTGAGGCCATTTCCTGTCATCCTAATTGAGACAAGAGGAAACTTGAACATAGCCGCCTTGGCTACCCAAGCAGGTCCCTGACCTGGGGTGGAACATGTGAAAAAACATCTTGTTCTGGCTAATTCTAAGGTAGGAAAATTCCTTCACAGTGCCTTTAAAAACAAACAAAAATCCCCCAAGATCCCTCAAAAGGAGTTGCCAGAACACTCCTAGAACGCTAGCACCGTACTAATTATCTAAGTGGTAGAAGCTCTTGGCTCCAAATGTAGGTCACTCTTAAAAGTCTGCTGCAGTATTGACCTTACTGGCTGGCTCATGTGATGAGTTCTTGCTCATCTCTGTAAGAAAACCTTGAAGGAGTCGTCTTTTTCACAGACGATAACAATAATGAAAGAAGCTGAGGTATTTTCAGATATAATCACGCTAAGATTGTGTTTTGACATTCATTTTTGTTTTGATGACCAGGATCTGGAAGGACAACATGGTGGGGTTTTTTGTTTTGTTTTGTTTTTTTTCCAACTTAGTTGAGCCTGTTTTCCTCTGTTTTGTGGAAGTCTGATTTGTATTTTGGCTGATGAAAGGCACTTTTTGAAGATGCCTTACTCATAGAAAGTTACTTTTTTGTGTGTGTGTGTCCTAGTTAGAATAAATGCGTCGGGGGGGGTTGAGTGTCATATTTCGAAGACTTTCATCTTGCTATGTATTGCAATTACTCAGGCAAAAAGGATGGATAGCTGCAGATAGAGCAAAGCAAGTTGAAGAATTTTGGCAACGAAAGAGAGAAGCCATGGAAAACAAAGCTCGAGCTGAGGGACACATGGTATGGAATCTGGTCTTCCCTATGTATATTACCGTTTCAGCATGCTTTATGAATCTTTGAAGTAGCATCGTAACCATGAAATGCTGGCTAAATATTTTCCTTAAGTATTAAAAGAAAAAAAAAGAAGAGAGGGAATGGGAGGTAGGTTTTCTGCATTTTGTTATTGATTTTATTATAATGTAACGGAATGGTGCAATACCTTTCTCATGACTGTAAACTTATTAACAAAGGAAAATACCTTTTTTGCATGTGTCAAACTTGATATTGTGAATATTAGAACATTCATTCACATTTTTTTTCTGTTCATAGCTTTAAAGTTTGGGTTAAAATTAAACTTTCTGTATTACTCAGTAGTTTGAACCTAAAATGAAGTTTGATTAAACTGATACAGCTAATGATCAGATACAGTAGTGTGTTTTACAAAAACACATTCTGCTTATTGAGAAGTTATTATAAAGACATCTATCTTCGTCAAGGTTGATGTTTCTGAAACCTTTACTCTTTAGAGATGAACTAGTGGACAGTGTCACAAAATGTTCTTTGTTCTTTATCCTTGCAGTTCTAAATTCAGTATCCCTTTAGGAAGTCTGTTTTGTAGGTAAAGATATCTTGGAAATGACTCATTTGCACTAGGACTTTGTGTGGTTGAACTATGTGTTTTCATAATGTGAACAGTTTTGGTTTTTGAGTGCTTCTCCACACTATTCATACACAACCAAGTCACAATATCGCTGTCAGCTGCTGACACTAAACTGACCGTGCTGCCATTGCAGTGAGATGAGACCAACTGCAGATTTATAGAAGCATCTCCTGAGTTATATCTGAATATCAGATCATGATTTACAGCCAGGTCTTTGTTTCAGGGATTATTTCACTTACAGTAAGCAATTCTTAGATACTTTGATTCACTGCTTTGATGGTGAAGTGTTCTTAGATTAGTATATGTGTTTTGAAGCATGAGTCTTCCACTTTAAAACTATGGTTCTGTTTTTTAAAACCTCCAAGACCAGTAAATAGTTTTGAAAAAAATGAACAATTCTTGTTAAGACTGCCTCTTCTTAGACAAGTCCTTAGTAGTACCTGCTTCCATTTTGTTCCTGACTTTGTTGGCTTTAATATAAATGTATGAGATCAATTAATGCAAGATACCCAAGTATTCAGGTTAATGTCTCTCAGGTTTCTCTAATGTATTCAACTGAGCCCAAATGTTTTATTCTTAACTGGCTGCCGTAATAAAACAGGGAGGTTACTGAACAGTTGTAGAAGTAACTTCCAGATGTTTAAGAATTAAAACTCGAAGCCAGGGTTTCAAATTCATGTACTATCATTTGCCATTGATAGCAGAAGTTCTCAGCAGCTTCCTTCTGTTTGTGCAGGAAAATAATTTGACTAGCTGGCAGTAGTTCTCATATAGGGATGGGACTATTGTCCAGAGCATGATGATCTGAGAGGAGAAATCAGTAGGAATCATCAGCTAATATGCAGTCCTTTGTCATATAAAGACTTGTAAGTTAAAGGACTCGCGCTAATTTACCCAGCTTCTGTTAAATATAGTTGCTGTCAATTTTAATTTTCAAGTGACAGTCTAAAGTTTGACTCAGTAGTTGAGTTCATGATACTTTGTCATCTCTTCTTTAAGACAGCTGCTGACCTTATTTGCTACTTCACTGTAGCTGTGTGGCATTGCAAAACATTGAGTCCTGGTCTTTGAAAGTTTTAATGTAGGCAGATGAGTAAAAGTTAACAATCTACAGAAGGAAAATCAGTTCTCAAAAATCTTGCTTCCAGTTTCTTTCTTGTTTAAGAGCAGTGATATAAATCTCCATCAGTTTATTGAAAATACCTAAACTAACTTGAATGCTAGAATGGAGAACAATGAGATGACTTGAATAGTGCCAGTTAGGTTTTGTAAAGCTCAGGAACATGCATTAAAAAGTTAAAAATAAAACCAAATATTTTCTGAAAAGTATTCCTTTCCATTTTGTATGACTTAATGTTCAAGCTGAAACCAGAACTCATGGAGTCCTCATGAATGTATGCTGCTACTTATCCACAGGACGGTTCCTTTAATGTGTTCTCTGATCCCCTGGTCACTAAACCACAGAAGTGCAGAAATGTGCTGTTTGAGATGACTTGAATAGTGCCAGTTAGGTTTTGTAAAGCTCAGGAACATAAGCTCAGGAACATGCATTAAAACCAAATATATAAAACCAAATATTTTCTGAAAAGTATTCCTTTCCATTTTGTATGACTTAATGTTCAAGCTGAAACCAGAACTCATGGAGTCCTCATGAATGTATGCTGCTACTTATCCACAGGACGGTTCCTTTAATGTGTTCTCTGATCCCCTGGTCACTAAACCACAGAAGTGCAGAAATGTGCTGTTTCCTTGAGTTACTGATTTTTTTGCTCAATCTGAGAGAGTGTTTAGCCAGAATATTTGGATTCAGTCCTCCCTATCAATAACTTAACTGGAGTATTTACTTACCGATGGTTCTCTACACTCCAGCTTGAGAAATAAAATAACAAGCCCTGGTCTTTTATAAGGAAGAAGGTCCGTGTAACTATCACATGTATGCTTACAGTCTTTGTTGTATGTTAACAAATCAAGGTATTTTTAACCTGTTCAGCAGAGGCTTATGGTGTATCATGAACAAAATAATACAAATATTTTGAATTTTAATCCAAGCAGGAAACCTGGGGTTAAATGATTCTTGTACTGTTTTGTATTGGACTTCCTTAAAGGTTGAAATCCTTTTGGTGACAGTTAGGACACTGAGTACATCATACTAACCAAGACTATACACTGTGAATGCATATGTGTTAGGCATTTAACACAGCTTGTTAGATGTAATATGTGTATTTAAGTATTAGGTTTTTGAGTTTGCTACTTGTAGTATGTTTTAAAAAAAGTCATCATTGTGGAAGAAGCTTAATCTAAGGACATACAAGGATTCCACTTCTATTTTAGGCTTGGCTCAACAATGGCAGAAATGCCAGCTCTGTGCCACAATTTGTATATAATCCAGATGTAGAAAAACTCATGGCCATCAGAATTTAGGCTTTCTAACATAGCAGGAGAAGATCAGAATTGCAGGGAGAAGGCAACTATGTTCTTAAAGCTCTAGTCTCTCTCTTTGGCTACTCAGGATTTTTAGTTACTACTGTTATATGTTTCGTGTAAGTGAAAAGGGGTTATTGGTTACCTTCAGAATAACTGCAGGTCATTGACGGATTTGGTTTCTTGTAAGTGAAGAGTTATTGGATAAAGCAGATAATTTTACCGCCCCAGCCACCTTAAATTTGATACCATTAAATGGCAAACAGGGTACACTGCAAAACGTGGCAGATATCTATGGAGGCAGGCCCATTTCTGCAAGAGGAAGGAAATCCAGAAACAAGGAGGAAGAGGTATGCTTGCCGCATGTTTGCCACTTTGCTCATCACACGAATAGCACTATTTTGACCTTGACTGTGCCTAGTTTCCCTGCATGGTTCATCTGTGTAACAAAATAAAAGGACTTTATAAATTCCTAGGAAATTATTTACTGTATAAAGTTCTAGAGTTTGGGTGTGTCTGTTGTTGGTTTTGGTGTTTGTTTTTTTTTTTAATAATCAAAATAATAGCTGTCTACATCGGTCTGTCTCGGAGAGGTTCTTGAATGTGCATACATATAGATATGACTCTGTATATTTTAATCCTGTTGTGATAAATATAACCATTCCTAGCATTCAATGATATAAAATGTAATGATAGCTTAATACTGAGAAACATACGTTCCAGTTTTCTTATTTTCATTAGATGAGACTTTTTCTGGAGATTAGTAAATGCTAATATGGTGATAGTAATAGTGTGGGGGTTTGGGGTTTTTTTTTCCACCCATCTTATTTTTTTGTGGAATCTTATGTATTTTAAGTTAAACACACTGGAGACAGTTTCAATATAACTGAAACTTATTTCCTTTCTTTGCCTTAGGAATATTTGGCAAGATTAAGACAGATCCGGCTACAAAACTTTAATGAACGTCAACAGATTAGAGCAAAACTTCGTGGAGAAAAGGTTGGTTTGAAAAATAATCTTAAATGCTTATGGAAGTTGGCTGTGGGATGTATTCTTTTATCCCTGTGGGAAGACTTTTCTCATAGGCAGTTTTATATATAGACATATATTTTTGACATTTAATTCTGTTCCACAGTTAGTGTACTTCCATCTCCTAGAATATGCAAAACCTGTTTATTTCAGTGCTGGGGGTGCAGCTTCAGTGCCTGTAAACTAACAGTGTTCTAAAAACAAAACAACATAAAGTTACATCTGAATTTGACATGTAAATTTCTCATCAAGCACTAGCACGTTTATATTTATTTGCTTTTAGTTATAGAAACTTCTCCAGAATTCACTTTTTGACAATGCTCACACAGAATGCGTATGAAGCGATTCTTTTCGTACATTCTGTAGGTGTGTATTAAAGTTAGAAATTCCTAGCATGAGCTCAATTTAATCAATACACTTTTTCTCAAACATCACTTTTCCAAAATATGTTCATAATACAACAAAAACAAAATAATATGTTCATAAAGTAGACTCAGAACAAACACTTCTTAAGGTGTTAAATGAATAATCCAAGGCACCCTTAGAAGCAATCCATTTCCGTGTTAAAAAAAGAGTTTAATCTGAGAGGCAATCTATGTAGTAAATACAGTCTGGAGTTTGTTTCCATCTTTTCATTAACCCACTGTGTGATCTTGTACTTCTGTCTGTTCTTCCCCGTCCTGTCCATTGTCTTAATAGAGTGTTTGGGTTTCCTCAAGTGATTACCTGCCTATTTATTCACATTGTACTTTGATTTAAAACTAGAGAAATGTTCCTGCCACTTCCCCACACACACACTTTAAGCACCTGTATGAAGTGCTTCCCTGCATCTTATGTATAGTGTGTGGACATTTAAGACAAGACCATGCCCAGTACCACTTAGTTTCTTTGGACCACCAACCCAGCTAAACAGAGTTCCACATTGCTGTAGGGCTGGGGGGGGGCTGTTAATGCTAAAATTTTCTATTTTTTTCCTGTGTTAGTGACTTCTTTTGAATTGTTTTCTTTATTGTCTTTAACCTTGACTGCATCTCGCTGGTGAGATGCAAGAGAGCCAAATTCAGTCCCTTGATTGCGGTGCAAAACTTTAGTGCATTGAAGAGGAACCCATGCCCCTTTAAATCTAAAATGAATGATCCAGAGCAAAAGTTACATACATTTTTACCTGAGGAGACTATGCAAACTTTGGAAGATGTGCTAGTGGCTAAGTCTGACATGGGACCAACATGGGCCGTTCCCCTAAGTTTTTCTTGAGGAGCAAGAGGAAAATGAAGGTCTTGTGCATCTATGAAGTTATTGTAGAGGCTGGTTAGTGAAGTGCATCACTATTACTGACTCACATAAAATGCTAAGTTGATGCACCATAAGCACATGCTGTCTTAACTGCATTTGGTGTTAGTTTCACTCATAACTCTGTCTCCTCTGCTGTTCTGGACAAGCTTCAAAACTGCTGCAATGGGACTAGTCATCTCCATACGCAGCCCTATGAAATCTTACTGTGGCTCATGAGTACCCTTAGAATACTGACAACAGTGCTAAAATGTTACCAGTATAGAGCCATTGCTGTACTGCACTGTTTCTTCCAGTTTTTTCACTAAGCAGCTGCAATACTTTCTTTCAAAATTAGGAGCACCCACACTCTACCTGCAGTATGGTCAACTGCAGAAGTAAAGGTACTCTCCAGAAACCTTTTCTCTGGAGGCCAAGGCTGCTTGTGCTTGTAGTCAAACAAAAGTACTGTTACTGTGACCATGACATTAATTCTCTGTATGGGTTATTAGGCATATCAGGAACCTAACTTCCTTTCCCAGTGGCTGTACCTTACCTGGGGTAGTGTTGTCCCAGAAGGTATGCCACCTACAAAGGATCAGAGAATAGATTAATACCTTTCCAGGAAGTAGGCCCAAACCAATTTTCAGAATTCAGAGACCAAGTTTAAAAGTCTATTTTTTTTTTTTCTCTTGATGACCTGCAGATGCAAACTTTATCTAGGGGAACACCATCTCAGACCAAATCTTGTCATAGATATGTTTATTTCCTTATGTTAACGATTTTTATATCTATTGCTACTGCATAGTATCCTATACTGCATAGTATCCTATTTTATATACAATAGATTAATATATGTATTCATGCCTTTGCCTATGAAAAGTGCCAAATTATTTTTCTGAAGTTTTTCTATCTTCAGTGTTCTTTCCAGTCGTCTTTTTCTTTTCTGTTGGCTCACAGAAGCCAAGGTGGGCATGACCTTTTTTTTTTTATTATTTTCACTTTAAAATTTACCTAAAATTCTTGCTTGTGTTTTGCCAAATTATTTCTAATAAAACTCTTTTTCTTATACTGCAAGAAGCCTACTAAATAGGCCTTCTAAATAGTTTATTTTAAATAAAAGGTCTGCACAAGTTGGTCATGAACAATAAAAGGCTCCTGTCAGAACTTTCTTTGTGTAACTCTGTCAGTCTGTTCTGTAAATAAGAATATGCAGAGGCTGTGGAAAGAAGTTAGAGAGATTGAAACCAGAGATTTCAGAGGTAGACCTCATATTCTTACTTGTTACTATTTCCCCCCTCACCCACTCCACCTTCCTTGGAGCACATACAGTGGAAGAAACTGGAATTCCAGAGCTTCAAACCTTTCTTGTATACCTTACCTGCAGAGCATGCAACAGTGATGAGGGGTGGCAGGTGAGAGCTCAGCATCGTTAGGTCACTTACCTTGCAACAGTAGGCACATTACTTTCTTCCTGGCTTGTAAAAGCTTCATATCTTTTAAAACCAGAAAAGCCCCACAAAACCAAAGAAATAAACAAAAAACCCCCCACAAATCTCAAAGATGAACTTCTGTCCAAGTAGACATTACATTTGAGTGAGGAGTTACCTAGTGAAATTACAACTTGTGTTAGTCATACAGCCAGTCTAAATGATCCGAGTACTCACTTACATCACTCAGCTTTTAAATACATGAATTAATGATAATTCTTTGAGGACACTTACTTTGCAGAATGAAGCTGCCAGTTCTGATGGACAAGAATCAAGTGAGGAAGCAGAACTGAAACGCAAAAAGATAGAAGCACAGAAGGTAATTGTGGGGAGGGAGGCGATGGAACTTACTGTTCTCAAATTTGTTTCATATCTCATGAATGAGATATTTCATTTTGCTATCAACAGTTTGTTCATACATCCACTACAAGAGGTTTTTATTTTAACTGTGTTGATGTAACAATTCTGTTGAACTGTTTTATCTCAGTAATTTTAAAATACGTTGTGACATAGCATAGCAAGTCAAGGATTTTTCCCATCCCTGCCTTTGAGATTTTTTTCTAGGTTAGCTTTAGTCCTAAAGGCAATTTGGTATAACTAAAATAGCATTTTGATACTGAAAGGGAAAGGAAGATGCACTTTAAATAACAACAACTTTATTTTAGTTAAAAGAATAAAGGAAGGCAAAACTCTACATGTGTTGACACGGGCTACATGTGGATTGGAAGGTGAGCTATATACCCCTGTGATGAAGTACATTTAAAGCAAATGTGTTTCACAGAAATCCGATGTTTGATTGGAACTTCATTCCATCTGGTGTTCTTATAGCAATAACTATCTCTACCATACGATACGTAGCACGTATGATTATGATTAAATACATGTATCCTATGATTATTCCCCCCCCATCATCTGCAAAGAGCAATATAAAAACAAGCTAACCTTATGTCTAACGTTAAAACTAGAGGTGAAACAGCAACTGAAGCTTTTTGTGTTTATGTTGAGTAAGTTTGTAAAGTTTAAACTGAACATTTAATATTTTGTGATTAATGCATTTGGTTTCAAAACTAATTTTAAGTAGAGATTCTAATTTTACATTACTCCATTTAAGATTACTATGTACACTAAAAATATAACCATGTAAATCAAGAACTGTAATTAAATTTTGAGGAGTTGGCGTTATTTTCAACATAAAAGATCAGTTATTGTACTTGGGTGGTGATTTTGGCAGTGGAGTCCTCCCTTCGCAGTCTATGCAGTAATAAGTGAGAGAAAGGAAGATGAAGTAATCCACAAATGTTTCTTTTTAAAATGTTCCATGGAATGGGGTACTAATGCTTTTTATGACTTTAAGTTGGTCTTGTTTGTTTGTTTACTATAGGCCCAAGCAAATGCTCGAGCTGCAGTTCTGAAAGAACAGTTAGAGCGAAAGAGAAAGGAAGCATATGAAAGAGAGAAAAGAGCCTGGGAAGAACATGTAAGAAAATAAATCTGTTACACACAGTCTAAGTATATAGTGCCGTATCTTTGTATAACTAAAATCCTATACTGTGATTTTTCAAGCTTAGATAATCAGTTTGTCTTCTGAAACTGAGGAGAGCATCTGTCAGTCAGAATTCCCTCATTAGTAGCCTAATCTTAGGTATACTTGTATGAAGAATTTGGTTCAAGAATTTAAGAACATCAAATCTAAGAATCATTAGGATCACCTTAAATATTTTATTGATGATCTGTAACTTACCAAAGTGTACTTAATCTTCTTTTGCTTCTGTGTGCTGTGGAGTGACAAGTCCAACTAGTAATATATGGCTACAAAAAACAGGAAGTTGTGAAGCTGATAAACTGGAAATAGTTCACATGTGCAGTTGGCAGTTGTCTTTTGTATGAAAATGTGTGGCTTTATTGTCCTTTTCTAAGGTTTACATGGGCCTATTTGATAATACTGTGTTTAATGTGTGAAGTCTTGAAGTTAATTTGTTGATTTAAATTGTTTTAATTGAATCTATACAGCTGATAGCGAAAGGAGTAAAGAATCCTAATGTGCCTTTTCATGTGGGAGCTACAGAACAGAGTCCTGTGCAGGGACTACAAGAGCTTGGAGCAGCTCTTCCTAAGCCACAGCTTCCGGTGAAGGCCGGTACACCCGTCATCTCCATGACTTCTGCTTTGAAGGAAGTGGGTGTGGTAGGTACTTTTGCTAAGAGGGTAAAATTGATTGGGGGGGGGATACTGATTTGAAAAAGAACTTTTATAAGAATGTGTAGATTAGGCAGAGAAAAAATCGTTAAGGATAGTTGTTGCTTGTAATTGGAAAGAAGGAAAAAAAATGTAAAAAGAAACCAAAACTTGGAAGCTGTTGAAATACATCTGTACACTGAAACTCAAATTCAATCAGTTTTGAACAAAATGGCTTACTTATGATGAACCCTAGGTTGCAATTCGAATTTTGATCAAGGCAGTCATGATTAGTGGAAGAAGATACCAACTAACCAGCATTTCCATCAGCCTCTTGAACAGGGGAATTAAGGAATTTGTAACCTGGTGGAAGTGAGAAAATAAATTTTGAATGATAGGACTATTTTATATTAATTCTTGTTTTCCGTGAGTTTGAAAGTATGTGCTGATTATAACAGAATATAAAGTTTAAGAGACTTGAATCTGATAGTGTTGCTTTTTCTTGGTGTCTAAAACACTATTAGAGACTTCCTAATTTCTGTTTCCTGTGATCTTGGGTCCTGATATTGTAAATGCTTACACATTTACCATTTGGTTTAAGTAACAATTGTGAAACTGAGCATGCAAGTGAATGATTGTACAATTTGAGTTTTTAACACAATCTGTGTTAATTTGAATGCTAACTTTTGGGTTTTTACCTAAGCTATTTCTAGATTTCAATGTAGTGTAGGATTATATACTGTATACAACCCTGAAGGCTATGACTATGGGAATATGGTGAAACTTAGTGCTAAATAGTGTATATAAAATGTAATACACTGAACAATGTCAGTTGATAACTGGAAAAATAACCAAATCATGTTTTGACAAATACTTAAATCATTAGCACATTTCTTCTACGTGGATAGTTTGTCTTACAGTAATGCAAGATGGTGACTATAACTGACTAAAAATTAGCACACAGAACAATTGGAGAAGACAAGGCTTGTACACAAAGATTATAAGTTCTACATTTTTGCCTTCAATTTTTAGTTTGATTATTTTACATATTTACTATTTTACAATTTTGAAGAGCAAATATGCTTTCTAAATGAAGTTCATATTGATTGCTTTTGGAAGCCTGGTAGGTCTTATCCAATAGTTGAAATTTCATTGCTCCCATAATTGAGGCAGGTTAAGAACAATGCAGAATGTTTCCCCGAAAAATGCATCACATAATGGAATATTTGCCTTAGTTTAGTGTAATTGTGTATTTGCCTGGTCTCAATTTACTTACTCTGGGCAGGCTTTCTGATATGTTTTCAGATAGCAAGGAACTACTGTTTTCTTATTCTTTACCGACTTGACATTATACATACTGTAATCACTAAAGTTGTTTCTTCTCCATTCTGCTTTTCTTTACAGGTGCTCCTTGACTGTGTCCTTGCCACTTTTTTTTGTTCTCTTCTAGATTTACTCATTTCTAGCATTGGAATTTGGTGGCATTTTGCTGTAGAGATCATACCTAGCTTTATCTCTACACTCTGAACTTTTCACTTGTCTGCTTAAACGAGTCCGATTCATTTGCTCACCACTTTCAGATAGTGAATGGTTCAAAGACTGAAGCTGCCCTTGAAATTTTGTCTTTGGGAAGCCCCATAAAAACAGAAGTATCATACATTCTGTCTCAGTTTATCTGCAGTTGTCAATGAAAAGGTTTTAGAGGTGATTTTTCACTATTACGTCTATTAATATTCTCAAGATTTTTTTTTTCTGACATATTCTTCTACATTGTATTTCATGCTTCTTGGACTTAAAGGATGAAAATGCAACTGTTATCCAGGAAGCTAAGGAGGAAATAAAAAAGCCAGATTTTGCAATGCAAGTATGTAAAATTGTATTCAGTTTGATTTAATTTCCTTTTAAGAAAGGTACTATTTTAAGTGAAATATGTTGGCCCCTATTTCAGAATAAACGAGAAATACTGAGAAGATTAAATGAAAATCTTAAAGCTCAAGAAGATGAGAAAGGAAAAAAGGAGTGTAAAAATATCTCTGAATTAGCTGGGTCTGAAGATGGTAAGGAACAAAAAGAAGGTGACCATCCACTTCTAGGAGATCGCAAAAAATGGGAATCTGGGGCATCTGAGCTGGTAGTTCCTCTAGCTCAGTTATCAATGGAAGATTCTCTCTCCGGAACAGACCGTAAGTACTTTTTTTTTGTCACCATGATATTAGTAAATCAGTTTACCATGTGTAGTGTCTGTTTTTATAAAGCAAGTACTCTTTATTATTATTGTCTTGTTATCAGTTGTGTGTCATCTGCTTCTAGAAAACAGGTGGTTATGTATTCCTTTGGATAAGGAATAAGGCACAGGCTGAGTAATTAATTGGCCTGCAGGAGATTCAACAAATAATTTCCCGATTTCAACAAATAGTTACCTGATGAAATGCATGGTTACTTTCTTTGAGCTTGCTTTGTAAAATGTCTTTTTAAATAGGCACTAATTTAACAGAAAGAATAAAAAGCACTTAAAATATATGGAAGTTTCTTATTTAACTCCAAAATCATTTTATGTTGTCAGTAGAACAATAAAAACTGAGGATTTTCTCAATTTATATCAGTTACTTTTATTGCGCCCTTCATCAATCTTAGCTTTTTCTTTTTTTAAATCAAGCATGTCTCTTCAAATTTTCTGTCTGCCTTCTCTGGTCTTTCGGGTGGAGGACCTTTTTCCTGGTTTCAGTGTGTCTTATTAAGGGGTCTGTTTCACACTGAAAAAATAAATAATCATTGAGAATGTGACAAACTCACTTCATAGCATAGTATGGCTGGGATATTAGAAGATGAAGAAACAACTTCTTTTGCTCTACTATTCTTTGTTGCTTTATATCCTCTGTTTTCCTTGGAGGGAGAAATAACAGAACAAATGTCAAAGGATAGCACACAAGAGACTTTCTAGTTTCCCATTTCAGGTAAAGTTAAAGACCATCTCATGCCAGTTTTAAACATTTCTCATATTGTTTTCTTTCGGAGTGCCTGAATTGCTGAAAAGATCTCCTGCTGCTATTAAGTTGCAGATGTTAACTGGCATTGAGTAACTCCTGTTATTAAACGGAATTGGCAGAAGAAAAACTCTAGACTTTTGAGGATAGTCTTTAGGCTGTCTGACTTGGAGTGAGGTGGCATGAGCCTGGCTTTGTAGTTTTTAGTTTTGTGGAGGTTGTTTGTTTGTCCATTATATAGAAAGTGAATAAAAGTTTCTAATTTCTGAAAGTTTCTGTATTTGTGTCCCAACAGGACAAACTCTGGGGGAAGTAATTAGATCAGATATTGGCGAACCCCACAGGAAAGTCTGGGGCAAAAGCCCTACTGATTCAGTCCTGAAGATCCTAGGAGAAGCAGAGTTGCAGCTGCAAACTGACCTGCTCGAGGAACTAGATGTACTAAATGGTAAGCGCAGCTGGTAATTATCTGCACTGCAAGTGTAGGAAGTGCCAGATTGCCAGTTTGTCTACTGAGGACAATTTTGAAGTCACAGAAGCATATTCTATCCTCACTCTTGCTTTCCACTTCTGGATGTTGCCTCAGTTCTAAATGTCAGCACAGGCTGATACTGGAAGACACCAAAATACTTCAAACTCAGTGAAGTGGTAAGAAATTAAGAAGGATGTGCTGAAAGGGAAGGATCTTCATTTTGTTGAAGAGTCTTGGACTTTGCTTATTGATAGAAACAACTCTGTTTTTCGAAAGGGTGTCATCAACTGAATATTGTATTACATAGGTCTTAACCTTCTTTTAGCATATGACTTACCATATGAGTGGATTTTTTTTTTTTTTGGTCAACTCCTGCTTTTTTGTCCTTTCCAAGGACAAAAGGACTTATGTTTATTCCAAGTATAAACTGGTACTAATTGATAATGTAGCAAGTAAAACTCGAATTCTAATATTTCTAGCTTTCCTCTTCATAATAGTTGCAATAAAAGCATGCAAACTTTTCTATTCTATTTTTCTTTAAAGAAACAAAAATTCTCAACTTACCTTGTAGTCACATTGTAGTTTATTATCCACCTGTGTCAAAGCACTGTTTAAATAATAGAATAATTTTGTAGTAGGTACTGCAGAACTTCCTGAAGAAGATCATCAGTCCTTAATTGTAAAGGAGGAGAAGGAAGAGAAAGCTTTTCCTATGGTCGGAGCTCAGTCTTCAGTACCAATTGGTATCACAGAGTCTGACATGACTATACCAGAAGAATCTCAAAAAGCTGGACCTACCCAGGTGCAGAGCAAACCTATTATGCTGGATGGTAAGTCATTTCATTAGTAATTCTAATTACAACCTGTTTTCCAATTCAGTGAGGGAAGTAATGATACTGTATACTTTTATATCTTCCCATAAGTAATGTGCAGTTTTTCATTAACACATTTTAGGTAGGACCAAGTGCTTTCTATGCCTGTGTTGTAATTTGATTCACTAAAGTATTTTGTAAATTTCCAGAAACCTTTTTTGTGTGCTTATAGAAAACTCTCTAGAATAGAAGTGGAATTCTAAAGTGCTTCAATTTTGTTGTTGTTGGGTTTTTTGTTTGTTTCTCCCCATCAGTTGTGCTGGAATCTTTTCCCCTATATGGTACCAGCACCCTGCTGCTGTCTGGGGGAATGTTACTGAGGTTTTTAGAAGACGTGGTTTGTTGGAGCTCCAAGATACTTCTCTTGTATCAGAAACACACTTTTAGCTCTGGAGTTACAATACTTCAGTTGTTTCTGCAAAAAGCAGAAAATTATTAAAGCTGAAGGATCTAAGTGTAATCTTAAGATGTATAGTCTCTCCTGTCTTTTTGTTTGTTTGGGATTCATTTTTAATGAGGTATATGACTTCATTCATTTCAGAGCCTGATGATTTGGAAGCAGAGATGTTGGAAGAAGCAGAAGAAGGTAAAAAGCACCAGAGTAAGGAGCGTAAGGAATTTCCCATCACTGTTAATGAAGTGTGGGTAAAAGAGAAAGAGGATAAGTAAGTACTCTCTTCTGATCCTTCTCTCTCCAGTTCAAACTACTAGCTTTAACTGAGTAGGATTTAGATACATCAGTTAAAATGTTAAGTTTAGCTAAAGCTTCATTGCTTGTCTGCCATGTCAGTTTTACTGCACTTGGCAGAGGATTTTTTTCAGTAGAATAATGACTATTTTTACATGGTGTTTCCCCTGGATGTGGTATTTTGTAATAGGGCACAACATGACAGAAGAAATGAGGCACTTCCTGAGAAAGTAGCGCTTGACAAGGTGCAACCACAAAAGGAAGCTCCAGAAGGTCAGTTGAAGTCTCTTGTTTTGTTTATTGTAGCTGGCAGTTTGCAGTACTTGAGCCATCCCTTCTCACTTCTTCACAAACCCCAAAAGAGCAAGTTTTCTGTTTTCATTTTCTTTTTTAGTTCATACTTCTAAAAAGCAACTTTCTGACGGATTGGAAAGACAAATTGTGGGTGTTATTTTTGCCACTTTGGAAGAAAAGATGCAACAACAAAGCTACACTATGTATATCATAGAATTGCTTGCTCTTGGAGGTCTTTGAAGTAACTTTAGAAGGTCTGCAGATTTTACAGTAGAACAGAAAATACATTGGCAATATGTCAAGTATCATTGATGATACTATTGCATCTATTTATGGGTGGCTTAAGCAGACTGGGGGGGGTGGTTTTCCAGTGTTTGGGCGAATTATGTTGAGATAGCTTCAAAGAAATCTAGTAAAAGGCAAGAAGCAACAGATGAAAATGGATGACACCATAATTTCAGGCATGGACTGGATAATGAGAAACTAGAAGGCATGAGAACAGAATAGGCTATAGCTGAGGGCTGTATATTGTCAAAAAGTTAAAATGGGAGAATTTCACATTATAATGTATTTACTAAAATAATCCAAAGAGATTTTAATACTTTTACAGTGCTATCTATTTTCCTCTTTAATTGTACAACAGAAATGAGTTAGTTTTATTCACTTTAGTTACTTTTTCCTCAAGAGTTTGGGGGTTTTTATCTATTTAGATTTGTAATGGACTTTCTTTTACTACATCAGAAACTTGTTCCAGTGACTGTCTGCAACCTGAACCCTTATTCCAGAGGGTAATACAGCCCCCAGCTGTACCAACAGCCTCACCAGTTCTGTCAGCTCAGTCTTCACAGGAAGAGCCTTTTGTACCTCGTTCACGTTCCATATCACCAGCAAAAAATAAAGGCAAAAGTTCATTGTTGATTGGACTTTCTACAGGGCTTTTTGATGCAAATGACCCAAAGGCAAGTTTAAAAAACTAAACAGGAATATTTGTTTTTTCTATAGTAATACTATTTTCTTATTGAGGCTGAATGAGGCCAGAACAGATGGCATAACTGTTTCAGCAGGTGTTTGTATTTGTCTAGCCATGGCTGCCCTGCAGTATGACTGCACTGTGTTCGTTGGATCAGCAGGACTCGCGCACCAGTGAGAGTCTCTGGTTTCACCATTCAGCATTCTATGTCCAGGTGTTTGTGGAGGAATGCCACCACTTCTGTGAGACATAACGGAGGGAGTTCACGAGGAAATTCCTAACTTCCCCTATCTGCTTTCGCCCTTTTGTGCAGTTTTTTCAGACTTACCGCTACCTTGCCATCATAAACATAAACACTGAACAGATCAGCAAAGGTATCTTGTCATTTCTGGCAGCCAAGTGATTGGGTGGGTTTTTTCCTGTAGGATTTAACCCACTAGCACAGGTTCTGGCTGCGAAGCAGGAAGACTGAAGAAGAGTGAATGGAACTAACTGCTTTTTTGAAGGCGTTTCCTGACCAGCTACATAGAGTTGAGTGGCAGCTCACAGTCTGTGAAATGAGCGAAGGATGGTGGAATGTGGTTTTGATATGAATTTAAAACATTTTAAAAATAGTTATGGAACTAACATAAGGTGAAACAGACTTCTTAAATTACGTGTGATACTTGCCTGCGTTCTAAAGTGGAAAGTGCATAAAAGAGCAGCTGCTTTTTGGAGAAACGATGGTGGCAAGGGTTCTCTGGAAACTCGCACACCTGCGTTGCATTCAGTCAATGTGCAGTAAAGGATTTCCTAGGTGGTGGAATGCCAGATAAGGAAGAATGTTTCTTCTTTTGACTCCCAGCCTTTTTTTGTGAGTGCATGAAAGAAGTTGCACTGTTGATGATTAATTGAATATTGAATAATATCTATTGGTTGATGCATTGCTAGGAAGCGTAATACCAGGGATAGTGCTGTTTGCATCTGTGGGACAGTAAGACTTCTTGACAAGCTTGCATCTGTTTTCACAGATCGATATATTCACATAAATAGATTTATTACTCTAATTTTGATTCCTCAAGAGTTAGTCTATCATTAACTTCCCTAGATTATGAAGCTGTTTATCCGGCAGTTGGACAGTGATTATAGAAAAGCTAACTTGTCAGTAGGGGAAGACGAACATTCTTTGTACCCTTATCAGATTTAGAAAGTAGTGGATATGCTTTATAATGAAGTTCTTCAGTGTATCAATATGAACTGCCTCAGTATGTCACTTGTTACTGCATATTTGGCATGTGTTTTAGCCATAAGTGTTTGTCACAGAATTGTTAATGTAGTACCAGATGAGCTCTACATAATACCAGAGAGCTTGGAGAAAAGCAACAGATGTGTTGTTACTGCTGCAGTAGACCTGATGAAAGAGAGCAACAAATTCCCTTTCCTCATTTGGCTGCAACAAGAGGATGTTCAGTACTTCTTTGCAGTATCTGCAGATGTAACTGACTGGAATTTCCCAAATACACCTCTGCTGCAGCTCTTACCCAGAAACTAAGGAAACCTTTAGCAGGGAGCAGGGCAGACAGAATTAGTGGCCTATCTGTAGGCAGGTCTGTATGCTACCAGAAGTAGGCTAATAGGAAAAGAAGCATTTTTCAAAATACCTGGATACTTTCAAACGATGGGGAAAGTCAGTCTTCTAATTGTTCCATCACTTTGGTAGTTAGTGGTCAAAAAGGGTGGTTACTCCTTTGATGGCAATAATGGTCTTGGCCATGTGCTGACAGAGATTTGGTATTTGACCATGTATATGAATACACTGTGCTGGTACTATACACAGCTGGTACTAGCTGAGGAACTATTTTTTCATTAAAATTTAGGGGGTTTCATTAGGAGCAAACACCGAACGTGCACGTATTCGGAGCTATGCTGAAGGAAGTTGAGGCTTATTGGTAAAAATTCTTAGTACAGATTAGGTGTTGTTTCTTGGTTTTATTCACGCTATGGTGAATATTTAATAATTTTTGAGGGTTCTTGAACTTCTTAAGAGAGAGATCTGGTAGATCACTGAGCAAACAGTTACTTTGTTTCTGTGTTGCTTTATTTCCATTGCAACAAATTACTGTTGTAATTTGAACTTCTTTTTAATACTTCTTGTAACGAACTTCTTTCTAATACTATGGAACTGTCTTGAAATACCCCATAAACAAAAGTTACTGTTTTCAGTGACCAACCTAGAGATATAATAAAATGTAATTTTAAAAAATATTCGTCACCTACTTACAATGGTTCTAAGCTGTAAGTGATTGACATACATATATTGTAAACAATTGCGCATATATATATATATAAAATTTATCTACTGCAACGTTCCTTTTCTTTAGGTAGCCGTCAAGGTAACGAACAAATCTGCACAAAACCAGGATCTCTGTATGTCAGTTGATGTTCTTAAAGCTTTTCAGTCACTGTAACCCGTAAAGGCAGAAGGAATGCTTTCGTTTTAGCTGAGAGGCAAAATTCAAGATGTCACATTTTCAACAATTAAGAGTATCTGTGCTGGACACATTGTTATTTTGAAACTGACCTTCAAATGCAAAAGGACCAAAAAAAAAAAAAAAAGTCACTTTAAAGTATTTTGTAACCTCAGATTGTCTTTAGTATTGTTACCAAACAGGCTTTTTATTACCTTTGCAGATGTTGAGAACATGTTCGCTCCCGGATCTTTACAAACTGTACAGAACTTTAGTCGATGTTCCCAGTGTAGCAGATGTGCAGCATCAACATAATCTTGAAATAGATGATACGGAAGACGAGCAAGCCAAAGAAGGACCCTCTGATTCTGAGGATATGTGAGTGTATCAAGTATTTCAACAGGCATCTTAGATCAAGAATATTTTTGGTTAGACACTAACAATTACACACAGTATATCAGCATGGGGTTTTTACCCAAATTTTAAAAATCCTGTATTGAATCGCATTTACTCTGAGTCTCGTTCCGGTGAATTGAGAAGCTAATGCGATGTACTGCTTACAATAGCTGTCTGAATTTCCTTTCTAAATTCCATCCAAGATGCTATTCTGTCTGGCTTCTGCACCTTGCATTCTGCTGAAGCAGATCCA